CCCTTCTGGCCACACCTGTACCTGCTTACGAACTGGTTTGGTGACTTTGACCAGGGGCCTGTGGGAACCCATGGCACACCTAGGTTTCCGCCTGTACTGACCCTTATGCAAAATAGGTGGAATTAAGACACAGTTCCAAAAGCAAACACAACTGATCACTGCAGAGAGTGGTCCTGTTGCTGAGGTTGGGATGATCCTGTGTTCTCTTATGAACTACCTCCAACGCTTCTATGACTGGGCTGCAAGTGAAGACAGATGTAACATCTCTCTCTCTCTCACTGTACATGTACTGTTTATAAAATTAGGGAAACATAACCTGCACAAACAAAATAATTTGCAGGACAAATGGTTGACATCAATTTTGTTCGATTTGAAGAAGGTAAGGGGGCCAATTTCACTCACATGTGTACTGTTTATAAGGTTGGGGAAACCTGCAGTCAGCTGAGACTGAAGAAGTCACTTGGATGAGTGACGAAACGTTTCTCCAACTGAAAATGTCCAGATAAACAGAATCAACCTTTTGGGATTTACTTACCTGGATGATTAAGCACGCATCAAGACGTTATTTTATTAAAAATTTAAAATGTTAGCAGCACAAACAAAGATTTTTGCAGCACAAACCAGCACAAACGTTTGACATCAATTTTGTTTGATTCCATTAATATGGGGGAGCTGGTTGACCTCTAGAAGTTTTTGTTAATATCTTTAAAATAATAGCAGCACAAACGAAAGTTTTTGCAGCACAAACCAGCACAAACCAGCACAAACGTTTGACATCAATTTTGTTTGATTTAATTAATGTGGGGGGGCTGGTTGACCTCTGATGACCTCTAGAAATTTTTATTAATATCTTTAAAATGATAGTAGCACAAACGAAAATTTTTGCAGCACAAACCAGCACAAACGTTTGATACCACTTTTGTTGGATTTGAAGAAGGTGGGGGAAAACTTCACTCACATGATTTAGCTGCTTATTGTTTGAATAAATCTTGTCAATATTCATACACTATCGAAATTCATGAGGTACTTCATGAGGTAGTCACCTGGAAAGGTTTTCCAACAGACTTGAATGAGTTCCCAGAGATGTTGAGCACTTGCTGGCCATTTTGCCTTCACTCTGTGGTCCATCTCAGCTCAAACCATATCCATTGGGTTCAGGTGAGGTGAACCCATCCCAAACCAGATGGGATGGCATGTCGCTGCAGGATCTATTTGTCCATAAATGCCTGATTCACACAGTCTTCTCTGAACAGTTGATGTAGAGATGAGTCTGCTACTGGAACTCTGTGACATTTATCTGGGCTCTAATCTGAAGTGCTGCTAACTTGTGATTTCTGAGGCTGGTGACTCACATGAATTTATCCTCAGCACAGAGGTCATCCTTTCCTGGGGTGGTCCTCATGTGAGCCAGTTTCATCATAGCGCATGATGGTTTTTGCAGCTGAACTTGGGGACAAATGACCTTCAGTTCTTAAAATATTGATGCACTGTTGTTTGTCTTTACTTAGCTGATTGGTTCTTGCCATTATATGAATTCTAACAGTTGTCATACATCATGAAGC